TTATCACGCACACACACATGAGGCACACAATGATAGAGAGGGAGAGGGAGGAAAAGGTAGAAATATGTGGAAACTGGCAGACACGTATCGACACGACGAATATACGGTGTGTGGGTGCATGCGAAGGCCAGGGGGACGACGTTGCGCAAACGGCGAGAGAGAGAGAGAGAGAGAGAGAGAGAGAGAGAAGAGAGAAAGAAAGAGAGAGAAGGAGAAAGAGGACAAGGGCACTTTCTTTCTCTCTCTATCTATTGGAAAAGGAACCAAAGCAGAGGCGGCGGCGCGGCGACGGCGGCGGCGGTGGCAGTGGCGACGGCGCGAAGAGAGAGCCTCAGCGGGACACGGAAGGGTGCTTTCATCACATAGAGGACACAACCCCTTTTAGTAGCCACCGCCGCTACTCTCCTCCACGTCCTAACCTACCGTGTCCCCTGTTACTCTTCGGGGGCTGTCCTCTCTTTCTCTCTCAGATTCGCTCTTACAGACTCCCTATGCCTGGCCGCTCATCCATTTGCCAGTTCAAGGTGGCTGCGTTCATTACCGGAGGATACACCGGGTGTGGTGTGGGACTCCACCGAACCCGTCGTCGGCTTCCCTCGCCATACTTCCCTCGCCGGTCAGCCCCCCCGAGAGAAAACGTTCCGTTTAATAATTATATCGATGAGTCGCCAAGGACGTCGCAACGTTCAGGGTATATTGCGTGAAAGCGCCAATTGCGAACGCTAAATTTACCGAAAAAAATTTGAAATATCCTCAGAGAGAAACATTCTAGAAATTATCTACTATTTTGCGATATATATATATCTAAAAAAATGTGTACGAACCAGATTGTTTTATATTAATTGTTAATTATATGTTTAATTATATTCAAAATACGTTATAATTATATCCAACATACGTAGATTTTATATATACATATTTGTATAGCATATATATAAAATAAATTTGAAATGTCATGTGAAATTTTTATTAGAAATTAGATTTCAAAATTTTGAACATAAGATATTAAGATCGAAAGTATAAGATATTTACATTAAAACCAGTAATTAATAAGTAATAGAAATAATAGATACATTAAATAATAATAAATATTTTAATTTTATCAGAATTGTCAATAAGTGATTTTAAAAATCAAAAATTTGTTTCCAGTAACAATCATTTGGCATTCTATGATTAATTATAATATCGTCAAAGAATATATTTGTAAAATATTATTCAATCATTTAGAAACAGTCAATGTATATATTTGTGTGAACTGTTGCACCTGTTGAAACATATAAAAACGATCGCGTAAGCACGTGGAAATATCAGAGCAAAATTGAACACGTGCGTGTCTCTTTCATAAATAAGTAATGACCGACCAACCGAGAGATTGTTACTGAGATTTTCCTTTCTAATTGGAACGAAACGAAGTCCCCGCACGGAATGGCGGAGATTAACCGACCGCAAGAGCGCACGTGCACTTAAACAGCCGCTAATTGCTAAACCGAGAGAGGCGGGATCGCCGTTAAGCGCCTCATTCCGAGTTTCCCCGTTTTGCTAACAGGGAAAGTATATTTTTTACAAAAGCAGATAATTATTAACCCCCTCATTATCAGGGAGGGTGGATGTTAGAGGTATACTTATTCTGATATTAAAAGATTAATATAAAACTTTATCTTGCTATGAAAAAAAACATACAAAAAAGTGACATAGTTACACAAGAATTTTTTCATTATAATGTATGTATTTAATAAGATCTTTATACAAATTGTGGTAAGAAAAATTTAATATTTCAGCACGCAATTTTGTACAATAAATAGAAATCTCAAAATATTTTTTGAAGAATTTCAATATTAACCGGTATAAGATCTGTAAGTTCTATTTTTATCAAAGTTATTTTTTACTAATTTTTCTCTATAAATACAGCCATATTTATAGTGTAACATTGTTTGTAGGATATAATCATAGTTGCAGATACATATAAACAACAAAAACTTTATATTTTAAAACATGATTTTGTACACAGAGAAATGTCATTATTGACTAATATATGTAAGATTTGTAAGTTTTTTTTATCGAAATTATTTATTCTTCTTTATATTTTTAAAGAAATATTGTTTCTTTCAACGTATTCGCGATTGCATGTAATAAGTACATGTAAATAACAAAAAAAATCTGATATACTTCAAGATTTTGTACACAGAAATAATAGTATTAACAATCATAAACATAAACATTTTTATAAACATAAAATCGTAGGTTATTTATTTTTCTCTATATTTATAAAGAAATCTTCTTTTTAGAACGTATTCATGCTTATATGCAAATATATGCAAATAGCCAAGTATCTTCGTATCTTTCGAAGGCATACGCGCATCTTCATGTTGGCAGATATTTCGTAGCGACGTTGACGGCAAGTTCACGATACTTCGCAGAAACTAACACGACGAGCAGAAGGAAGCCGCGTAGGAAGCGAAACGGTCGAAGGAGGTGGATGGTAAGACAGGATAAGCAGATATTAACCGAGTTTACGGTGGTGACGGGTGGTGGGTGGCGGGTGGCTTTTGGGGGAGGGAAGGAGGAAAAGGACACTGCGTAGCAACCAGAAGGGTTTGCTCGCGGCTTTCCTTCCGCCGGTTTCCTCCACACTCTCGTGTTACGAGGCTAAGATGGAGAAGAGGAACGCGCGCCTTAGTCGCCGTCGCCGTTTCTCGCCGTCGGAAACAGGGAACCGGGCTTCTCTTATCTCGAGTCTGCAAGACTGCCTCCGGTAATACCGTGCGCCGCTAGAAACCCTTACGAGCGACGAGAACCCCGTGAAATATCGCTAAACGGCTTGGTACCCTTTTCCCACCCACCTCTTCCACTTCGATCTTCCACGAGCGATGATCATCCACTCCCGCCTTTTCGAACACTTTACATCGACGATCACCCTTCCGCACGTGCACCGTAACCTTCTCCTATGATAGGAGGATGATATTCACTCTCACTGGCGAGATAATATTGCGTCAATGACAATGGACGTCACACGATTGTCAGCTATCAGTCCTGGTATAGGCTGTGTTCCAAAATTTACTGCCAGTATACTGAAAATCTATAGTTTACGTTACGTGTATTATAGATTTTCAGTACTGGCAGTAAATTTTAAAACACAGCCATAGCTTTCTCTCGTTCAATGATAAATATATCAGTGCAATCAGTAAATCATCGATAATATATCAATGCACAGTAAAGAAAGTTATATTCTTTTATAAGAAAGATTCTACTTTCGTCCTTTTATGTTTCGAAATCTAATTCGTTAATATTTAATTTTTTTGCAATATAATTTTACAATCAAATTTAATTATTCATGATTCTATAACGATATGTTAAAATATATTTCGCTTTGTATATTTTTCTCAACTTTTAAAAATTTTTAACTCTTTTATAAGAAAGATTCTACTTTCGTCCTTTTATGATTCAAAATCTAATTCGTTAATATTTAATTTTTCCGCAATATAATTTTACAATCAAATTTGATTATTCATGATTTTGTAATGATATGTTAAAATATGTTCCGCTTTGTTTCTTAACTTTTTAAAATTTTTTATTCTTGTCTTTTAGCGCTGTATATCTATAATTATCGATTATACCGTCACGAATCTTAAGCTTTTCGGAATTTAGATTTACTGACACGAGCATCTTTGCGTGGGACACGAAAATGGGTAACAAGAAAACGTCGAGGAAACGAACGAGCGCGCTTCATTATACGCGACGCCGACACGCTTCGTTTGTCCCCGGAAGTTGTGCTTTAGGAGGGGTGACGTCGACACGAGGACCGAGGAGGAGGAGGATGAGATGCGAGGAAGAGGTAGAACAGAAGGGAGAGTGAGGTGTAAATGGGAAGCCGGGGCAGAGGGGTGGCTTGAATTAATACAATCACGCGGGGGTGGCTCACCACTCGCAGTCCGTGGTAAAGAGGGTGAGAAGCAACGAGAGATAACCACCCCTTTGCTTGTCATCGAAATTATACGCTGCCAACACTCGACCTCGTTTACCATGTCGACTTTCTCTCCTCCTCCTTTACGCGATCCGTCTTGCTTATGCTTCGTCTTTCCCTTGATAGATAATTATATCAAATTTTCGGTAGTTAAAAATACTTGTAGGTATATCAAGACATCAAACCATATTTGGAAATAAAAGTCAAGTACGTCAGTAACAAACATGTTTAGCAATATCAGTAATGTTTCATTATGATAATAAATTTTGTCTTTAATTTTTTTAGGCTTTTAACTAGTTATTGCAACCATGTTGGAATCGTGACGTCATAAGCAAAAAATGACACGTTGAAGTTTCTTGCATTTGTAAATAAAAAGAGAATTCGGATAAAACAAAATAATAATATTGTTTTAAAACATTTGTTTTAAAACACTTGTAAAAGTAAGCAGAAGTTATCCTTATTTCTTTAATAGTCAATATAAAATAGCCGTAAAAACATGTAAAATGAAAAAACAAAGCCTGTATTTCATGATTATTTACTGACAAGGAAAGTAAAGATACTTCTGCTCATTTTTATAAGTATTTTAAAATAATTTTATTATTTTGTTTTATCCAAATTTTTCAAAATCGTTACAAAAGACATGCAAGAAATTTCATATCTTGCATATGTAATCACGATTCTAATATGACAGCGGCGACTAATTAGAAATTTTAAAACTCCGATTTTGTGAGTTTTAATTATATATATATCTATAGGATAAAA